TATTGTTCTCTTAAGAAAGCGTGCTTCTCTCTTTTCCAAACAATGACATCAGTATGAAGTGTCCAATTAGACAAAACCACCTTTTCTCTTGCCCAGCTGATGTAGATCAAGGCTCGTTTACATTACCACAATTCAGCTACTCTGGAGCCTTGTTGTAGGCCTTGGGTGTGAGAGACTAAAGGTCGGTCTTTCACTCAGCCATGAAGCTTCCCGAGTAGCCTTAGGTTAGTAACTTGCTTCTCTGTCTCATCTACTAAAGTGATTTTTTAAAATCTAGCTACCATATTTCTATCCTGCCCTTCTCCAGGGATCTTTTCCTAACCAGCTTTGAGGTACGGTTATGGGATCCTTTCCCAGAGAGGCTAAATATTGTTACTTGGTAATTAGAAAACGCAGAAGGTACTGTAACTTGAGCCATTAATGATGGTATTGACTGGTTTGACATTTTAGGAAATACGGTTGTAAGGAGCCTATGTCGTAGACTCTGTGTTGTACTACTTCGGTTTATTATGCAAGTCTTATGACTGTTTTTAATAAATGTTGTTGTTGAGGCTTACTGATATGATGCCAGGAATGGCACTTTTGGAAGATGAGCAATCTGTTTTGCCACATTTACCTAACGGGATTTCACAGCGCTCTCCTGTCCATCCCGAAGAGCAGAAGCAGAACCCATCTCCATGCAGTCCTTCGTTGCATATCCCATTCTCCGTACAATTACACTCTGCAAAGACAAGAAAGCGAACATCATCATCTCAGACTAGCTAAAAGGCAGCTCACTGCCACTGAGGAGAATGCTTGGCACATACTGATGATGTGTAGATTGTAAATAGACCAGTACTGTCAGCAGATTTTGAGTAGGTATCTTGCTTTTTACCTTGAAGTGCATATTTGTCTGTTACCGTAGATATTACAAATCACATGGTGAGGATACTTAATAAAAATAAGGATGTTATTTCAACAAAACCAATTGGAAGGCTGCATCCAGGTGGCAGCTTCCCCAAATGTTCCCGGTACAAGAATAAACATCCACGTGTATGATTTTCAAATCTGCTAATTCACATGGGTGTTCATACATTTTTGCTATGGTTGCATACATCTGTGAACAAAAAAATGTATAAAGCAGCTATAAGATTCTTTATGTAGCTGTCCCACAAATGGCAATTAACTGTGAACAGTGGTGGTCAGTTTAGAGCAGGAAGATCGACGTGGGGCTTTTCTTCTGTTGTTGATAACACGACCGTACCTTTGCAGTCTGGCCCATATCGGCCTGGCATGCACAGTTCACAAGCTGTACCAATGAATGGCTCGTTGCAGATGCATCGTCCTGAAGCATGAAACCCATCATCACATCTACCACGATTACTGCATGGGGTCTCGAGTCCACCAGGACACACTGAAAAGACAGAAGCACAGAATGTTATCCAACAAATGCAAGCATCTTTAATTATTTTCCAGTCTCCCTTGAACCAGAAGCCTTGTTGCTGACAATTTAAGAACAAAACAGTAAAAATGCTTAGAAATACACCTCACAAGGAGAGTATTCCTTCCAAAGAAGCTTGATTATTGCCTTATCTCTGTGACCATGGGCCACAGGGCGACGGAAAACTCCACTATAAACTGTTGACTGATTATAAGTCATTCCCAAACACGCTTGGGCTAACTAGAGTACTGTGATTATTAGGACAACTTAACTAACAGTATAAGGCATGCTAACAAACTAACTTACAGATGTGTGAATGCAGTGCAATTAGCACAGCTACACACTAAAGACATTTTCATATATTGGGTCTCCTGACAGAAGAGGGACAGTCTCTTTCAGTTGTCCGTTCATTGCTATTTGAGTAATTAGGTGGTCCATAACATACAATCCAATAGAACAGCTCTTCCCAGCGTAGTTAATTGATAACTCCATTGGGCAATTTCCCTGTTGAGGAGCAAGCTAGCAGTTTCAGAAACCTTACAGTGATTGGTAGAATATTTAAATAGTTAGATTTGAGTCCAGTAGCACCTTTGGAACCAACAAAAATTTCAGGGCATAAGCTTTTGAGAGTCAAAGCTCCCTTCGTCAGACACACCCTGAAACTTTTCTTGGTTTCTGTGGTGCGACTGGACTCAAATCTAACTGCTCTATGGCAGACCAACATGGCCACCCTCTGGAACTATTTTTGTGGAAGGTAGAATAATTGGGATCGCTAGAGAGAGAAAATTGAATCCTATGGAAGTACAAGCAGAGGATCTTTCCTCTATCCCTCCCCCCCCCAACCCCTTTCACTCCCTATAAATTCTCTGCTGAAAGTTGGACAACTCTAATAAACACGTATACCATGGCAAGGGGTAGGGAACTGAGTGAAGAGAAGTAGTCAGGCAAAATCGCCTCTCTCCTCTTCACCTGGTGGAGAAAGAATGGTAGAGTCCTTTTTCCATCCACACAAGAGTGAGGTGGGGGCATTTCCTCACTGCAGTCCCCCGTTCTATCCTGCAGTTTGTATGCAAAAACAGCAGATGGGGGAGATGAAGGGATGCTGGGGAAACAGGAAGGCAGGGAAAGTTCCACTTCTGTGAACTCTTTCTACTCAAGTAGGCTGATTCAGAAATTAGGCAAAGGAAAGTCCCTAAGTTTCCACTACATACTGAACAGGTCAGATTTTGAAGACATCTATAAACATTATAAAAACAAACAAAAATGATGTCATTGGCCCATGCTTGCAACATGGGCATGTACCTGCACAGACCCAAACTAATATTTGCAGTAACCCACCATTTTCAGCTGTAGATGGTCATAGATCTCAAGCCCAACTGTCCAAAGATTTGCTAATTTTTTTTAACTGATGGCTCGCCTAACACAAGACAAAGGGCACAAGTGACAAAAGACTTTGTGCATCTATGTAGCAATTTGACCTCTTTATCCCCATATTGAGTTTCTTCACAAGAACCATGTCAATACACTCAAACAGGGCACTGGGAATACGGCTAGCATACCACAGAGACGGGCAGCAGACATCTGAACCTACTCTTGTTTGCAGTCATAAGAGGGCTTGTTTCTTTAATATGAAATCATGTCACTGTGCTTCAAATGAAAAGAAAACCATCCAAACTAGGGATGCTGGCCTCCAGGGTGGGACCAGGGGATTCTACGGAATTACAGCTCATCTCCAGACTCTATGGCACTGTACGCCACTGTGGTCCCTGTCCTAGAATCATAGAGTTGGAAGGGACCTTCAGGGTCATCTAGACCAATCCCCTGCACAATGCAGGAAATTCACAACTATCTCCCCCTACACCCCCATTGACCCCCTACTCCACGCCCAAAAGATGGCAAAAAACTGGCCTGGAGAAAATTACTTCCTGACCCCAAAGTAGGTCCTCCCCAGGTTCTATCTCCAAATCTCCAGGAGGTTCCCAGCCTGGATCTGGCAACTCTACCTCCCCCCTCCCATCCCCTGCTGTCGGCCGGGGAGACCTGGCAACCCTATCACAAACACCTTCTCTTATGACATTCTTATTGGCTGAAAAAATCATTATGACCAAGGCAAAACAACTTGTTTTGATAAGAGCAAAACCTAGTACTTTCTTCTGATAGGGGTATCTTACCCTGACAATTTATTCCGTAGTGATTTTCACAGCACTTGGGTGTCCACTTGGGGGTAACACATGTTCTCTTGCACCCGTTCATATTTGAAAAAAGATGCCATCTGTTTCTCCTGCGTGAGGATTGTGATAAGTAAGCCCTCCTTTCAACAATGCCATATGGGATTGGTTTCCTTAAAAGTGGATCTCCAGGATACAAACAACTCCTGCTTGATCCCTGTATGAGAAAAAGAAGGTTTTGTTTAAAAACGTCTACTTTTTGACTTTGAAATGTATACCTTATGGCAGAGCTCCTTTTTCTCTCTAGAACACAGTTTAGGAGACCCTCCACTGAACAACAACACCAGGATAGGTGAGAAAAAGCGGACAGATAATTCCCCCACCCCACAATTTCCTCCCTACCCATCTCCAGCTGCTTTACACTCATATGTCAGTGATTTTAGGCCTCTGTTTGTGATGGAAATGCTTGTGTCACTTGTGTAAACAAGACATAAAATCTCAAAACCAGCCTTGTCATCTTATGATGATTTCTGCAATTCATTCTGCCAGCACAACTAGGAAAACAGTTATTCTAACCTTATCTTCTGGAACTATCCTTCAAACTCACTTGTAAATTGGTGTGTGAGAAATATGGCTCAGCAAAAGCCAACTAACTCATTAGATCTTTACATCTTGTTAATGTTCCACCAAAGATACCTAAAGGAACACATCATATGAGTCATGCTCAGCATTTTTTATATGAATCCTTCAAGCAAAACTTACTTGTTCAACTGACCCAAAAGGACATGGAGGCTGATAATCACAGGAGCCACATTCAGAGGCCTAGGGAGAAAAAGCACACAGAGGATAGAACTTCCACACCTGCATTAGCCAGGATATTCACACAATACAAAGTCCTTGAGCTGCCATGAGGATTTTGGAGCACAAGTGTACTGAGGTGTCTATGCTTCCCAGGCATATGAGGGTGTGGATCAGGACTATGACATGCCCCACCATGCCATTTTCCAACCTGAAACAGCTCTAGGGGACTAGTACTTGTTCCACTGGGAAACTTACATGCAATGATGCTGTGATTGATTTCCAGCAGGCTAGATACCACCCAACACTCACCGCCTCACTCACCAATCTGCGGCTCCCCCCCCAGCATCTGATCATGCCAGGGAGCAACTGCGCAGCGGCTCGGGGGATCTGTCTGATCCCACAGCCGCGCTTCTCTTTTGATGTGGCTCAAAAAAGCCGCACTTCAGCCGCACCTTTCCCCCCAGTGTGACTGGGGCCACAGTAAGACCTCTGGCATGCCAACAGAGTTGGGGTAATTAAATTCCACTGTAGCACATCCCTTCAATTAGAAGGTGGTTAAAATGATGGCACCATCAACTGGCTAATGTTCAGTTGTAGGCAAAACATGACTTGGTTACATTTTATCACTCACTATTCAAGTTTTTATGAACATGAGGCCAGACGCAGTCACATAGTAACAAAAGACAAGGCAGACAGAAGGGTTGTGTAAAAAATGAGGACCTAGCAAAACCAAAAACAACAAAAAAATGTATATGCCATTAAATGCCACAATGCCCTCCAGTTCTCTACATAGGGCAAACAGGTCAAACCCTACGCCAAAGGATAAATGGACATAATTCCAGCATCAAGAATCATAAGACTGAGAAACGTGTAGGAGAACACTTTAGCCTTCTGGGACATTCAGTGGGTGACCTCAAAGTAGCTGTTTTATTGCAAAGGAACTTCACAAACAGTCTAGAAAGAGAAATTGCTAAGTTACAAGTTATTACAACACTCAGGACTTAACAGGGATATTGGTTTCTTATCTCATTAAATATGCTAATTTCATTCAGTCCTCACATCTGTATTCCCACCAATTCCCCAAAAGGGCTATTGTGATGAACTAACCTCCACAAACAGGATGCTTAGTGCATCAAATTCAGAGAGCTGGGAGAGTAAGGGTTAATGCCTCACTATGGAACACAGATTGAGGCCGCGGTCACACGGACCTCTTACCGCGCTAGTTTTCCCACAGTTCTTCTATCCGCGACATTTTATATCGCTTGGAGGTGGTCAGACGGTCCCTCTGTCTTCCGCTTCACTCGCGCGAAGTACTGATCACACAGTGCGCTGTCCCCGCAGCTGCACAGGTTTGTTTTTTTAAAAAAACCAAACCTGCGCATGCGCTTGGGCGTACATACAAACTAAGAAGACCAAAATAAAAGCTAGCACCTGTTTGCACATGCGCATAACTTAAACCGGAAACACAAAAAAGGGGGGGTAGCGCGGTCATGGCGGGTTGCTGTCCAGATGCCAAAACCGCGGATACAAAGCGCGAGATATCAGAAAACACCTGTTCCAACGGGTGTCAGAAAACGTGGATAAAAAGAGTGGAAACCGCGGGACTCAGCCCGCTTTGGTGCGGGAGGCAGGCTTGCCAATATGAACAGGAAACTTTAATGCGTGAGGGATCAGCAGCGAAGCCCGCACTAAATGTCCATGTGACCTGACCCTGATTGACAGGCTGCTCCCTGCTTTTACCCCCCTTCTCTCTGATAGATCAGTGCCAGCTGACAAGAATATTAAGAGCAGCTGAGTGCTGAGAAAAAGGTTCTTTCTCTGCTTTGTCATTTCTGATGAGTCAGTAGCCAGACAGTTGGAGCTGGTGTGTCTGTCAAAGGGAATCAGGCAAAATCACTTTTAAAGTGAAGGGACACAACTCTTGGCCCTTACTGAATACTACCAGAAACTGAGGGAAAGTTCAAATTAGGAACTTAAGTGTCAGACAAGCTGAAAGCCATTTATTCACAGTGTAAAGAACTGAGGATCAGGTTTGGCAGAAGAGATTGGTCGGTAGGTTGAAACTACCAGTCTTGCCAAGCAGAAATGGAATATTGCTTCTAGAAAACGGAGAATTTTTCCTTCTCAGTTATTCAGTGGGTCCAACTCAGAAGAATCCCCTGGTTACTGTGAAAAAGGAAACAGTCTTTGACTTCTCAGGCTATAGAAATACACTGGTTTCCAGAAGGGAAAGACACACAAATAAAGTGACCTTCTCCAGGAAACCTGAAGAATAATAGGAAACACTGTGAAGAGTATTTGTAACTGTAACTAAACTACTTGGTCAATCATTTCTCACTGCTAAGACGCAAGTTTCTCAAAAAAACTTCAAAAATACTCTGAGTTCAAATTATTATATTCTGTAAATACTTCAAAATTTACCTCAGTTTTCTTGTCCCCTGCCTATTCCTATCCAACTGTGCCTGTTTAATAAAATAAAATTCCTGTTTAGGGTTGCCAAGTCGGATCAGCGCTGGAGCGGGGGACTCCAGTGCCGCTCTGGGAGTGCGTGCGCACAACCACGTCCCCGGAAGTGACGTCCCCCGTGGCGGCAAACCAGCCCCCGACCGCCATTGCCTTTGGCGGCAACCGGGAGCTCCCTTCCCAATACTCAGCTCCTATTAGCACTGCTCTGACTGGTTCCTGTGTTGTGGGGGTATATTTCTGTGCTCTACGTGTCATGGTTACACATAAGTTTCTCAATGGAGCACACAGTGGTTCTCTTCAACTATCTCATCTGGAAAATGTTGCAGGAGGGTGGGGTGGGCTAAGGTGGGCCTGTGTTTTATACACAATCAATTCCAAATCTGAATTGGGCCCATTTTGCCTAGGAAGTACACAACTCCCAGCACACATCTGATTCAAACTCTTAATGGCAGCCACAAGGACTTTATCACACGAACTGGCTATCAGACATAATTTCAGATATCACAACACAACCTGACTTCATTAGGGGGGTTGAAATTTCAAAAACCTATGTTTGTTGTAGTAATGAGAATGCTGGGGTGGGAAGCAAAGGAGGTATTTGCATGGAAGAACTGGCAGGCTGAAGGAAGGAACATTTAACCTTTCCCACAACCCTTCCGCCTGCCTAGCTGGGCTTCTAGTTTCACACATAGCAGCAAAATCTCCTTCTCCCTCTTCAATCACACAAGAAAAACATTTTGGTTGTGCACTCACCATGTCTTTCTTAAAATATTAACTAACTGCCTATTCTACTGTAGTGATTTGTTATTGCTAGAGTTATCACTTTCTCAAAAGACACCCTTAACTTCATTTAGGCTTTGTTAATTTCATTCTGCATGGAAATGTGACCCAGTTCTTCTAGACTATGGTTTGGAAGGGAGCCTTTAAGTGACTGATGCTCATACTGATAAGTGTGCATCTTTTAAAATTCTGAGCACTTACCGACATCACAGCAGGCTGAAACTCATCACAGCGAGATCCCCGGTCTGGAGGTTCCAGCAGCTGATCAATACCATAAGCAATACCCACATTAAATTCCATATAACTGTGTATAATTCTTGCCTTGTCTACCTTAATGTATCCCTGCAAGGCAACAAAGAAAGAGAGAGATAGCTGAAGGTTGTGTTCAAATCAGTATATGAAGTTCAACCCTACCACTTATTGCTTCTTGGCTGCTAGGGCTGCCAAACCGAAAGCTGCTGGCCCAGCCTCTCTGATGACAAAACTAGAATACAGGTAGAAGTCGAGAAAGCCAGAATTCAGGCAGAAGCTGAGAAAGAGCAAAAATAGAGGCAGAGAGGGACAGAATTGAAAAAGAACAGCAATTAGAGTTAGCCAAAATTCAGTCAGAACAGGAGAACAATAAAATGGAACAGCAAGAGAGAGAACACAGAAAAGAGATGTACCATATGAAAATGCAGGAGATATAGTTAAGGGCAGAACTATCCATTCCACAGAAGAGTGAGGAATTTACCTCAGCGGAGCAGAAGCAATTCCCCCATTATCAAAAGAGAGGTGACTTGGAAACTTTTCTGTTTAGTTTTGAGAGAACATGTAAAGACCTAGAGATTCCTGATGAGGCCAGAATGCTGTATTTACGCCCACAAATATGTGGAGCCCTGAGTGAATATACACAGAAATGAGGGATGAAGAAACTTCAGAGTATCAGTTATTTAAAGAAAGAGTCAGAATTCGCTATGGTCTGACAGCAGAACAAAGCAGAAATGCGTTCAGAAAAATAAAGAGAAAGCCAGGAGAGACATATTCCCAACTAGGTTGGAAACTAGACAGAACCTTGACTAGATGGGTTGAAGGAAGCCAAGTAAAACCTTTTGAAAAACTGAAAAACTTGATAGGCTTAGAGCAATTCTAGCGATAACTCCCACAGCAGTTAAGATGGTTTCTGAGGGACAAAAAGCTTAAAATGTCACAGCTATACATCATCTTTCTTTTATTTTATTTCTTATTTGGAATAGTAGATTGTAATGTAATGTATGGAAGAATGTCATGTAATTTTGAATGTATTTCCCTGGTCTGGGGAAATACTTCTAGACTAACTCTCAACCCTCTCTTAACCCTCAAATCCTA